GTAACGGTTGTCATTGTATATTGATTTAGCCAAAGTTGTCTTTCCGAGCCCTGCCATTCCCACAATCACCATAACCGAAAGATATTTTTCCTGATTGTTGGAGTCAATCAAGGTTGCGATTATACCAGACACAATCTCCTCCCTACCGAAGATCTTTTCATCATGATCAAAGCTTGAGACGGTTTCCCTGTTCCCCATGCCTTGTGGGGATAATGTAGAATTTATTCTTCTTGCAACTAAGCCAATGAAAGATGCCTCGCTCTTGAGATCCGCTAGAGTTGCATTGATGTTCTTTATTTTGTGTGCCATTTGTTGACGAAATAAGATAGGGTTTGAGCGTGAAAGGAAGTTGAGTACCTTTTTCTTGACTTGGTTTTGCAATTCTACTTTGCTCCAGACATCTTCGTAATTAATTTCGTCGAAGACATTGTCAGCGTCACGAGCCACCTCTTCAAGTTTCTTCAACCAGTCTCTGACTGCCATGACCCGATCCTGCTGTGGTTGGTTTGTGACATCGCCTAAGAACTCTTGAATCGCACGTATTGATTGACGAAACTTTGCTAGTTCTTTTCTGAATCCCCGGAAAAGACTGAATTCTTGAGCAGCAAGTAAAGCTAACTTGTTCAGTATTCCCTCCACAGGAAAAGTATGAACTTCGAACGCCTTAACAGCCTCCATACTTAGCGCGAAAAGGTATGAATGCAGAGATAGCTAAGGAAACAAGAAGAAATAGGATTGAAGAATTCGTCCTACTGCAGATTTGTAGATAAAAAATATGGTTTCATAACCAATTGGCAATTTGGTATTTAATTATAATGAGTCCACCTACCCATCAAATTATTTCAAGCTCAACGCAAATTTTAAATTAGCAGTGGATTATAATTATTGGTAGCTTCTTCCATCAGTGCTGGCGAAATATGTATTCTATATTCACATTAGTTGGAAACTTATGTTTTTAATAATTGAAGGAATCTGTACTGAGCGAGTAGTAGGTTTAAGAAAGTACCACTAAGCTTTCAAATCTAACAACTCCCATTGACCTTTCGATCTGCTCAATAATATTCATTAAACAAATTTCACAATACATAAAAAACGTGTATATGATGAACCCCTATTACTGAACTTCCATTTGCGTTTAACAATGCCAATTTGCAATTTATTTTTTTTTTTAAAAACTAATAAAAAGGGCTTTAAAGATTTACATTTTAATAAAAATTTATCTACTTACTTTATTTAATGATAAGGATAAAAGAATAAAAAAACATAAAAAACACCACATGCGCTAAGCGTGCGTACCCCCCACCCCCCCCCTTTCCACTCTTTTTTCTCCCCGTCGTTAGCAATCACTGAGAGATTTTTTTTATTTTTTATTTTGCTTAGAATAAGAGAAAGACTTCAAATTGAATCACATTTCCTAATTTATTTTTGTGGTGTTGTTTCCTAATAATAGTCAAGATGACAATGGATTTTTCAATGTGCTAGAACATGGGATGGTACACCACGTATCTCTATACAAGTTGTGAGATTATTGTGTTAAAAAATTAATAACATAAAAAATAAAATTTCTCACCACTTACATAATAACACGTGGTGTACCACTTGTATTATGAGCATAAGGAAAAATTTCTCCAAGATGACACCCAAGCTAAAGAAATTGGATGGAGAGCTACATTTAATAATTGTAGGTATGTAAAAAGTGCGAGGGACTTTTAATTTAGTAATTGAAAATAGTTTTTTAAATATAATTACCGAGGACATAATCTTCTCAAGGTTTCATAAATAGTGTAGTACGTTAAGTTTCATAAACAATGTAGTAAGTTTCATAAACAGTGTAGTAAGTTTCATAAAAAGTTTAGCAAGTTTCATAAACAATGTAATAAGTTTCATAAACAGTTTAGTAAGTTTCATAAACAGTGTAGTACCGTTAAGTTTTATAAACAATGTAAAAAGTTTCATAAATAGTACGTATGAGAACGGTCTAGTGCGTTAGTTTTTTGTTTAAATATTAAAATTATGTATTTTTCATTAAAATTTAAGTTCTTTTATCATTTTTATTAAAATTTAAGAGTTTTTCATTAAAATTTAAATATTTTTTATTAAATAAAATTATAGCATGATTTTTTGTTACAGTAAATTTTGCCCAAACCTTTTTCATGAAAATTCCCTTCTTTTTTTTTGTGTGTTTCTGCTTACATACCAAATGCAAATTTTCAATTATGCAGGAAGGTTCCTGTGAGTAATTAAGCTTGTTGATTTGAAATTTTAGCTACCACGTCTAGGACCCATACAAAATTTCTTTTGTAGCCGATAATTTGACCTAATCTTGCCCTAAGTCTAGGCTATTTAGCCTATTTTTATTTGGGCTCTTGCCCCTGTTTTTCAACCCAAAAAAAATAAAAAACTGATTAATTGTTTAGAAAAGGATAATAACCGACTTACGTGGAACACTTAGAGAGAACCACGTGTCATAGACCCCCCAATAGGGCCAATTCACGTGTCATAGAAAAGGATAATAACCGACTTACGTGGAATATTTGTGCCTATCTACTACACGAATCTCGAAATTCAAACTCATCTAAAGGTGATAAATAGGGTGGTGAGCATACACCACACTAAATGGTGGTGAGCAAAAATACTCCCTTTTTCTTTTTACGCGTAAGCAAACACCCTCCTTTTTAATATTAACCTTTAGGCATGAGCTCACGTGCTTATAGAATACATTTTTTAAATCACGTCATGTTACGCATGATTTACACGTTTTAAATGTATTTATATTTTTTGAATTGATAAAAGGAAAGTCAAATATTTGAAGTAAATGAATAATCTTAAATCATGCTAGAAAAAAACGTCTCACAAACTAATCAAAGCAGCTGAATTCACATAATAAAATCGGTCTTTCAATTTTCATCTACATTCTATTGAATTTACATTAAGAATAGAGAAAATAATATTTAGTAAATAACTTATTGAATCACATTATTGCTAATCCATTGTGAGGCTAAGCCCACCTCCCTCCCCTTTATTGTAGATAATATCGTTTGTTAAAAAAAAAAGTTATTTGACAACTAATTTATTACATTATTATGCGCATGCCAAAAATATTTTTTATAACTGACATTACAAGCCTTTTAAGATGTTTTGAATATGTTTAAAAATAGAGAAAATAATATTTAATGAACAACTGACTGAATCACATTATTGCAAGCCTATTGTGAGGTTAAAAAAAACTGTACAAAAAGAATTAATTATTAAAAAAACACTGTTAAAATGATGAAAAATACCCTTGTATTATTTGATGCATTATTTTGGATTGCTTTTGAATTTTTTTGTTTTGGGGACATTTTTGTCCAAATATTTTTTGTGAAGCTTGTGACCCCAAAGGGGTTGTTAGCTTTATATATTAAGATTAGGAGGAGGGGAAGGGTGCATTGGTGCAAGTTGGTTGGGTCAACTCGAATACACCATACCCTATTCAATTTTAAACCGTCTAGAAGGTTGAAATGAAGAAAAAATCTGCCCAAAACCAACCCAATCATTATTTTGGGTTGGGTTAGGTAGCCTTGCTGCCCATATCAGCCCAAACCCAATATGATTTTGAGCCCAAATTTGCTCATGCTCATACCCATCTCACTTCATATTATATAAATTATTATATGTATAACTTTTGGAATGACTATACTTGAAGTTCATTGTCAATTTTCATTGAATAATGAATGATAGTATTACATTTACATTTCTTTTGGTTGAGGTTTTGGTATATGCAAAGTTGTTTGCTTTAACTTTTCCGTGGATGGTGATGTGTAAATATACTTTTAATTAATAATGATGTTTGATTCAAAATTTGAAAAATCATGTAAAATAAAGTGTTATAAGATTAAACTTGATAAAGTTGGGCAAACTTGAACCAAACTCAAATAATCTCTAACCCATCTCAAATAATCCTGAACCTAATTAAAATCCAAACACGACTAAACTCACATGAACCTGAACCCAATACAAACCCAACTTTTGAAAATTAGATTAGGATTAAGTTGACCATCTAGCCGACCTAACCCGTCTGAGTTGCACCCTAAACATGAGACATGCCCAACGAACAGCCATAAATCTGGGCTTTCCAATTGCAATTTGATATCTGATTTCTTAGAAAATGACAAGTGAAGTGAAGTTGCAGGCAGCAGCTTGTGTACCCTTTTGTGAATTTTTACACATTTTATCTGAAGGGTATTAAGAACTTGCCTGAAGTGCTTCTTGGAAAGCATGTGAAGCCTACTCCTGCTGCTAGCACTTGTGAGCCTCATGCCACAATTGCTGGTTTCACTGGTTGAAAGATGATGTTTTTTTGGTGTTGGCAGTGGAGAGTAATAAATTTGTTTTTTTTGGAGGAAATGAAAGCTATTTTCTTTCAGTTTTTCTTTTCCATTTTCTGAAGGCTATTTTCATTCCTAAATGTTTAATAAAAATCCCAAGTAATAGAATTTATGCTTAATTTGTAGTATCTTAAACCATCAGTAGGTTTTGGATCTGATGACTAATTTGGCAGTAAGACATTAAGCAAAAATTTTAACTTGTAAAGAAGATTGTGTAAAGCTTTATGAGATGATTGCTTGTATTTTTGGTCCTATGATCTATTGATATTTCATTTTGAATTTGACTCCCAAAGACAATATAAGTTTGTTACTAATTTATTAAAATTAAACTTAAACATCGGTTTATATAAATTTTTCATTGTGTAGTTCGCCTAAACCTCTCGCTCTTTGATGCAAATATATCATCTTATTAAGAAAAAATAAAAAATTTAAGAGCTTGTAGGGTTTGACGACTCGATTTGAGCAATTGTCTCGCTCCCCTTTCATTTTATGTTCAGGTGACATTAATCTGACATATTTTGAGATGCTATTAAAGAAAACAAATCAACAACTAATCTGCATCAGTCAATTCTAATTTATTTTGTATTTCACATGTACATGTATGTAAGTTTTATAAAGGACTGTTACATAACACTATAATGCCCGAGGCATCATGTCTGCGTATCCGATCCCTCTACGAGTAGTCGGAAAGATTGTGAACAAGAAGCTCGACAAAATCCCAGCTCCGAGAGGCAAATTCATTGTTAGTTCACTTATTCCCGCTTCAGAAAAGAAGCAACTTTGCACATTGAAGTTGCAAAGAGCAAAGACCAAGAACACAAATAGTGACATAAAGGCGTGAACAAAATCTATAAACTTTATTTTATAATTCTTCAAGTCCCTATCCATGTCCTCGGCGTTACTGCAGTTGAAAATGTACATGCCTTTGAACGTGGCGATTCCATAGTAGAGTTTTCGGTCGTTGTCCATGAAGCTATCAGTAAACGAAGATAAGAAACAAAGGAGAGCACAAAATGTAATGACACATGTTGTCAGGTACTTATTGAAAAGTTGGCAAGAACCATTGTTGGACAAAGTAGGGATGAGGGTGTGAAATGCGAGGACTGTGCTGGTAGGTAGAAGGTTAGTGAGGTTGGCCGCACTGGCTAGGGTTTGGTGGACGGCGTACTGGTTCAAGCTGTGCTTTAATATGGTGGGAGGGGAAGGTGGTGGGCGTGGTTGCTCGGAAGATAGTACCTCAGCCATGTAGAGAAAGAAGAAGGGAGTTTGGTTATATTAATTCGCTTTCTGTTGGAGGTGATAAAAGGCAATGCTTTATAGAAAATGAAGACATTGGAGTTTAGGTTGTTTACCTCAGAATGGTGATGTATGTAAATCATGTGGATTGTGTTTTGAGAGAGGGATAGCGTAAGGGACACCAACAATGGACTAATTTCTAGGCCATAAGAAACTGACATATGATGTATGCAACCATTTTTTAGCTAGTTACCGAATATGACCATAAATTAACTCACTTGCTAGCTGTTTGAAGGAATGCAATCCTACATCAGAAGCTTGGCAGAACTACAACTTATATTGAACTGTTTCACTTTTAAATAGCCAACAACTACCGGGCCGTGCAGGTGATTAAGTTAAAATAATATCAGTGTGATTAGTAGTGGCTGCTGGTCCGACTCTGAAATCTTGACGCTAGCTAGAACTTACTTATCTTCCAAGAGTTTCGCACCATCAACATTCATCATTGATGATTTTATAGGTCATTTATGTCTAGCTTGAGGTAACAAAAGTGATTTCCGTTCCGATTCTATACAGTTTAATACAACAACTTTAAAGAGAAATCAGATTTGGCCTCCTCCCCAACCAAACTCTTCCTCAAGTCCATTACTCCAATCTCAGTTACGGATTAGTACTATCACTTTGAACATTTGGGAGATGCTTCTCTCCTTCGTTTGCTAATCACCAACAGGGTTTAATACAAAGAAAATTGTGATAAGTAGTCTCATGGATGGGATGAGCTACAGTAGAACCTTGAATTGCAAAGTTTGCTGACATTCAGAACATGCTTCGGTCTGCAATGCTGCAATATGCAATCTGTTGAAATGTCCCACATCGACCGTATCAATGACAAAAGAAGAGTTTTAAATACCCTAATCTCATTCCAACTAAAACCAAGGCCTTTTGTGATAAAATCTCACACCTGACGGATTGGGCAGATGGTAATTACCAAGTTGGGGACAATATCGGTGTTGTTGGAAGTGGGCCGTATGGTCCGTTTCTCTGATAATTCTACACAATCAATCATCGATAAAACCACATAAAAAAATGTTCATCTTTTTTCTAAAAACCGATTCATTGATGTTTGTATTTTTTCTTATGTTTGCCCCCGTCTCTGGTACCAACTTTGCAACAAACAGAATGGTTACAATCCATTAGGAAACTAAAAGCGTATGAGAAGATCCAAGAACCTAACCAGCTAACAAATGTTATTAGGCTACCGGCTGACCACTTCATGTTCATGAGAAATATCTGAAAAAATTAGGCTAAATTAGTTAGAAATGCGGTATATCAAAATGTATGTGACTGAACTGAATTTCGAACAATTCTATCAATTGTTGAGGTCATGCTTGTTAAGTATAACCTACATCTGACATTATAACCCAAGCAATGCCTCCCATGCTCAACGAGAACGATCCAGTAAATACCTGATCGTAGGTTTCACATAGGCTGAGAGATAGTCGCTATTGCCTATTGGCATATATCAGAAAGAAAAGCAAGTTTTGAGATTCAAGTTATGTCGGATTTACCAAAACGCGGACAAATGCCACAATGGGAGTATAATCTGCTTCCACTGTTGAAGGTTCTACACATAGTAGACTTCATTCTTTCAAGACAGTTTACAAAAGACAATAAGAAACTGAAAGTGGATTAGATTTTGTTCAAGAGGAAACCTGCGACGAGAATGACAACCCGACGACGAGGCAACCTAAGCATGTTCCTGCTGAAGGTACCTGGAAGAGATACGGAGTACAAGACATCAGCATCGGATTTTCATCCTTTCCGGAAGAAGGAAGCACTTTAATACTTTTTCAGGATTCACTTCTATTTTCATAAATGATTAGTTAAAAAAAAAATTAATCAAATGCGTTTTCAATCATTTTAAAAGTATTTTCAAATAAATCTTTAAAAATTAAAAATGATGCATGAAAATCACTTCCCGAGTGATACGCTGTTATTTTCAAAATCACTATTAAGTTTATAAACCCTCAAAATGCAGTTATCCTTTTATTCCACTCCCCACTCTCTACTCCATGTAATATGTCTGTATGTAGTCCTTTTATCGTCACGTGACAAGCACGTGATACTTTGGAACTGGATCCTCTTCGAGGTAAATTCTTGGGATCCTGCTGAGCGACAAACACAACTATTAAATTATAATTCAACAGTTATAATTATTATAACTTTAAAAAGAATTCTGTTTGTAATGGTTGGATTGAAATTCAACGATCCGTCTTTGTCGCTCACATATCCCGAGGGTTTGGCTCGGAGAGGATCCAGTTCCTGATACTTTGAACTAAACACTCTCTCTGTCTCTGCGCCTCGTCTCTTCACACCCACGGCTAATCCAAGCCGATGAAACAGGAAGACTAAAACTTTACCGAACACTGATCGAATCTCCGCCATGGATTTCGTGGAACTGGAGGCGATCGAGGGCCTCCGATGGCCCTGGAATTCATGGCCGCCGTCAAAATCCGAAAGCGCCGCCCTCGTCATCCCTCTCAGCATCATGTGCACGCCGCTGATGCAGCAGGCCGAGCTCCCGATACTTCCCTACGACCCCGTCACATGTCTCCGATGTGGCGCCGTTTTGAACCCCTACGCGCGCGTTGAATACCTTTCTCGCATCTGGTTCTGCTCCTTCTGCCACCACAAGAACTCCTTCCCTCACTCTTACTCCAACATCGGCGACACCAACCTCCCAGCCGAGCTTTTTCCGACTTACAGCGCCGTCGAGTACGCCAAAACCGCCCACGGAATTCCCAATTCCGGCTCGAATTCCCTGAATTGGGCAAATGGGTTGTCGTCATCGTCGTCCTTGTCGTCTATGGTTTCGTCGTCGGCGGCCTCGGTGTCGGATGGGGATTCGAGAGGGGTGAGGCCGGCGTTCGTGTTCGTTGTAGACGCTTGCACGCCCGGGGACGAGCTTGGAGTTCTGAAAAATGAGCTCTTGCTTGTTGTGGAGAAGCTTCCGGAGACTGCTTTGGTGGGTCTGGTCACGTTTGATTCGATGGTTTGAGTTCATGATCTCGGGTTTTCGGAGTGCTCGAGGGCCGTGGTGTTTCACGGCGAAAGGGAGCTGTCATCGCTTCAGGTAGCTGGTTTTCTTCTTTGTTTGCCATAATTTTTGGTGTGTTGAAGTGAAAGATGTTGCCTTTTTCGTGTTTTCTACTTATTAGCAGCTCTATTTTGGATATCAATGAGTTTCTTTAGGTAGTTTAGGAGAAGTTTAAGCATTTGAAGTTTAAATTTTTGCGTGTCGAAGTATGTGTTGCATTTTTCGTGTTTATAAATTGGCTTTCTTGGTTATGAAGTAGAATTGTGTTACATTTTTTGTAAATTTACATTCTTTGAGTTTAAATTTGCCGTATTTTGGTGTGTTGAAGTAGGAATGTGTAACTGTGAACACGGAAAATTCCTGAAAGGAAAGAGACAAGAACAACGTGCACAAAATAATATTTGTGTTTGATGATTTTGTTGGGTTACGATCTCTTTTAACTTGATCCTCTTATTCGATCTCCGTAAGGTGTTGATTTGTGGATGTTTCGTTGATCCAATGGCCGTCGAGGCTTGATCTTGGATGAACTGTTGGAAGTTTCTTCAAGGGGCCGTGGGCTTGATCTTTGAAGGTGGATTTGAGCGGATCTTCAAGGAGCCGTTGGGGCTTGATCTTGAGGATGAGTGTTTCTTCAAGGGCCGTTAAGGTTTGATCTTGAATAACGGTGATGAACGGATCTTCAAGGGCTTTTGGGCTTGATCTTGAAGAACGGTTGGATGTGTGGATTTGTTGATGTTGTTGATCCAAGGGCCGTCGGGGCTTGATCTTGGATGAACAGATGATGAACGATGGTGCTTTCTTCAAGGGCCGTCGGGGCTTGATCTTAGATGAACGGATGATGAACGATGGTGCTTTCTTCAAGGGCCGTCGGGGCTTGATCTTGAATTGGTGGAAGTTCTTCAAGGGCCTTTGGGGCTTGATCTTGAATTGATGGATTGTTGATCCAAGGGCCGTCGGGGCTTGATCTTGGAAGAACGATGAACGAAGAACGAAGAACACTTTCTTCAAGGGCCGTCGGGGCTTGATCTTGAATTGGTGGATGATTGTTGATCCAAAAGGGTCGTTGGGGCTTGATCTTAGGATGAACAGTTGTGTGGATTTGTTGATGTTGTTGATCCAAATGGCCGTTGGGGCTTGATCTTAGGATGAACAGTTATGTGGATTTGGTGATGTTGTTGATCCAAAAGGGCCGTCGGGGCTTGATCTTAGGATGAACAGTTGTGTGGATTTGTTGATGTTATTGATCCAAAGGGCCGTTGGGGCTTGATCTTAGGATGAACAATTGTGTGGATTTGTTGATGTTGTTGATCCAAAAGGCCGTTGGGGCTTGATCTTAGGATGAACAGTTATGTGGATTTGGTGATGTTGTTGATCCAAAAGGGCCGTCGGGGCTTGATATTAGGATGAACAGTTGTGTGGATTTGTTGAACACTTTCTTCAAGGGCCGTCGAGACTTGATCTTGAATTGGTGGAAGTTCTTCAAGGGCCGTTGGGGCTTGATCTTGAAGGAGGATTTGATGAAGAACGAAGAGGGCTTTCTTGATCATTCGAGATTTGCTTGAGAGCTTTAGAGTTTCAAAGCTTCAAGGATTTTGGATGTATGGGGAGTATTCTCTTCCATTTTGGGAGTAGAGAAATGTATTTGTGAATTGGTTTCTTGATTCTTTGATGGAGGAGCCTATTTATAGGCTTTGGGAACGAATCACCACCATCCATTTGTTTTGGTGGATGTTGTAGGTGAATTTTGGTGGATGTTGTAGGTGAAACTTGGTGGATGTTTGTAGGTGAAATTTGGTGGATGTTGTAGGTGAACTTAGTGTATGATGTAGGTGAAGTGAATGAATGTTGTAATTTTAATACAATGGTCAACATTTATTTCACCAAAATTTTAATGTTTACAAATGTAATCTTA